TTTTCCACTGATATCTAAACAAATCATTGGATTTTGATGAAACTTGGCACATAGATGTTCTGAACTAATGCGAAGATGTGATAAATTTTTGATAATTTGCATAATTACTTTTTTTTCAGCTTTTGATATTTTAAGTAGTAAGCATTACATTTCAATGAAACTTAGTACATACTCAAAAACTATGCAGAGATTGATTGTTTTGGGATAAATATTTGTGCATATTAATTATCTAATTTGCGTAATTAACCAATTTTCACACTGATATCTCAAGTACTAATCATCACATTCAAATGAAACGTTGTACATGGATGCTGTAGGGCAATAGACAGACCTAATTAATTGTGGGTTAAAATCTGTACATATTAATTACCTCACCAATTTTAGGCCATCACACTGATATCTAAAGTACAAATTATTCCATTTCAATGAAACTTAGTACAAAGATGCTCTGGGACAAGGTGGACTGCGCCAGATGATGTGATTTTCCACTCGCTGAGAGATCTAGCGTACTGTATGAAAATCACATGCATTTTAATTTTTTTTTATAACTCGATGTTGATCTTTCGGAGGAGAATATTACGATATGTAAAAATACCCTCAAACTACTTGTCGAATCCAAAACAATGTGACCTGTTTTTACCTTTTTTTTTCCACATAATACAGGATCTCTCAGTGAACGGAAAATAATTAACATGTGCGAGTCTCCAATGTTCACAAAATGTAAAATATAAATCACAACTTACAGTGCATTGTGGGATAGTTATGTCAGATTGCAAGAGTAAACACACTTTACAATTGCTATCTTTTGTTGATGTACTAAAGCAGATGGTTTGTGTTCCAAGTTTGGACAATTTGACTGGAAGAATTTGAGACACAAACAAATATATGCAAACAAAGATGATGAAAATTGTTGTTAAACATATGGCCACCAGTCACCCATTTTGTATCTGGGGCATGCATGCATCAACCACTTACCAAGTTTGCAGAAAATCTGTCTTGGACAGAACCCAATGTATAAGCCCTTTGACTGTGTCCAGTCAGGGGCGAATTAGTAAGACGCCCTATTCAAAGCTAACCATTTGTTGAATAAACCTTCGAGTTTAACACCAATTGCCTACCTTTCTATGAAGTCTTACCACAGAAATCCATTTGAGGACTTGCAGTGCTTTGGTCAATCCACAATAGGGCATGCAACTCTTGCACAACTTAACATAGAATCTTCAGAGTTTCACACAAATTGTCTGAACACAACTCTTGCCACAGGAATCCAATTTTTCACTTTAACTTGGAGAGGGTCATGTAGCTAAACAGTAGCGTATTGGTCAATCCATATTAGGGCACGTAACCAGTTTTGGTTGTGTAGTCATAGACCTTATCAAGACCACACCCATCAGTTTGATAACAATTCTTCCCAATGTGCATGAACAACATTTTGTTAGCCTTATTAATGGCAGTGGTCTGATGAGGGTACCTCTAGATGATACAAAACTATCATATTTATAGCTGGGGTACTAATTCACTTATCCACAATTAGATATTCTAAAGATTGCATTCTTGACTTTTCCCAAATAAAGCACGTTTTCTGTTTGTATATTTTCAAGTTGTCTGTAATTGCAAAAATTTAGCTCAAAGGTGTGTAGCTGTTCACAGGTGAATATACAAGTAGCAAAAACAGAATATTGGATTGCACATTATTATTTAGTATTGTATTAATCTAAACAGATTTAAATTCAAGCATCATACTTTCAATAACTGGCTATGTGTTCACCAAAATTTTCAAGATGCTAGTCTGATGTAGCAAGATGGTCTGCTCAGTTGCAGTTCAGGGTAAAGCTCAAAATTAGAATACACCAACAGCTTATTTTGTGGTTTTAATATTAGTTGAATATGTACACCAGATTTGCAAATTGTGTTCAACTTCGCAAGTCCAACGCAAAGCAATCGCCAAGTGTTTCGCAAAGTTGCAAGCCGTCTTGCTAATTGACTTTCAGAAACTCTTTACATAAACTTAATTACAAGAGTCGAAATGTTACCAAAAAACATTTACCAAATTAATAAGTGCAATAGCAGGCATATTCTGAATTGATGTCCACATGACAGTTTAAACCACTGAAACACAAATTTGGCTGTAAAACATGCAAAGGTTTTTGCAGTCAGTCTTGATGGGAAGAAAGGGGGTAATAAACAGACTTTGTTTAACAGAAGACAAATATGCTTTATTGACAGGTTTAAGTTAATTTTACATACACACATTGACAACAAAGGATGACGTCTGCACAGTACAAGGCAATGATGGCTCATCAAGCAAATGAAACTCGTTGCATCATGGCGACATTCTCTTTAAAAGTTACATTGCCCTGATTAGTGATGTGCCGTAATACCCACAACCAGATGGGAGGGGGCTCAGGGTTGAAACCCAAAATAAAAGGGAGTTTTTTAGTTTTTTACAATTTTTGTGAAACAGACCTAAAAAAAAGCCTAGTTGTACTTCATTTTACAGTGTAGGTGTATTACCAAAAAAAAAATAAAAGTAAAACATCACTTTTTTTTTATGTAAAATGACATGCACCCGTTAACTAGAAATGCTTGGGCACACTTTTGCACTTCCACCCCTTCCCAGAAATAAGAAAATCTGGTTATTTGAGTTCCAAGTTCATTTAAGTATCTTTAGTATAAAAGGGGTGGCAGGTTTGTGGTGCAACAATGTGCCAAGCCAACAACTACACTTCACATATATCTGACATACAGGATTCAATATTTTTTTTTTCTTCTGTCTCTCGCGTCAAAGATCAATCAATGTACAAAAAAAAAAAAGTACGCTACACACAGAATTACAAATACAGTCATCTCTGGACACTACTACCAGAAAAAAGTGTGCATGATAAACGGTCTTGTTTTAAATACGAAGGAACACAGGAAAAAAGCCTGCCTAAATTCTTGGTTTTTTTTACTCTACATGCCTGCTATCTATCTAGTCTTACTGAATACAAAGTAGTGGAATCTGCCATATCCCTAATGGATAAATATATTATACGAAATGTAATCTCAAAAATGCTCAGTAGACAGAGTTCCAAAAAAGCATACTTTAAAACTGGATAAGGAACAAAAGGGTTGTGATCAGATCTTTTGAAACTCTGTCCTATCCTTTTTTTTTTCTTTTTTTTTTTCGTTTTTTCTGTCTTTGCTCAATATCCTACATTGAATAAAAAAAAAATTTGCCAACAAATCAGGGGTTAAAACGAGGTGGAGGCAGATGTTTTAGCAACAGGAAAAACAAATTTCAGTTTTTCTTTTTGTAAAATACATGACAAAAAGCCAATAAATAGAGCAAATTATGTCAATGTGACCGACTATACATTTGATAATGAGATAAAGACATTTTGGTTTTGTAGGAAAACACTGAACAAGGGGGAAGGGAGAGAGTCAGTCAATTCTTAGACTTTGTTCTTTGGTGCTTTTTACATACAATTTTCATTGAGTTGTGCCACACATCTGCAGTAATAAACAACTGCAAACCTGAATACAGTGACATCTGCACTGATTGTGATAATAAAATTGTTCCTAATTTATAAGCTAGCCAATCCAGTGCTCTGTCTTCTGCCACATCCCCTTGAAGTGGGACAAACCACTGGAACACATTTACTTGTTTGCTTCCAGATGGCATGAATGCAAAGCCACTCCCCCTCTCAGCCAGATTGTCATAGTGTACCGAAAGGAGAAGACAATGCCCATGGTTTCAAGCAGAGGCAAGTGACTCTTTATTATACAAGACAAGCCCCACCAATATATTTTACTATCAAACCTGCATAACAACTCCTCTAAGGTAACGAGGAGCATCTCTAGCCAGGAAATGCAAATGAAATTACACGCGTTGTAAGGAGAAAATGGGCTGCTGAAATGTCAGTTCCTTGGAACATGTCCACAACACACACACCCATACACGCACGCACGCACGCACACACACACACACACACTTTAAGTCAATATGTTAATCAATATTAACTGCCTCAAGAAAGTACTCATTAAAATATTAAAAACATGATACACTACTTGGTTTAAATCCTTGGCAGTTTTGATTAGTGATACACAGAAACTAATTTCTACATCTGAGTGATGACCATACATGATAGTTACCAATACACAACAACCAAGAGCAAAGAAGTCCTTAGATATACAAGTACTAAATTTTTAAAAACTGAAAACCTCTGCAAGAAACATCAGTTTCTTTCTTTGCCCAGGACTGAGCTGTATCCTAGTTTTGGCTTTGCATATAAGGTGACAGTAATTACACTTCTAATCAACACAGCGTGTTAAAAAAAGATATTTCTGTTAGATATACTGCTGGCGTAAACTAGGTTCTCGTTCAGACAAAGGAAAATCAACACATTGGACATCCTCCAAGGAGTGGACGGTTACAGAGTTTTTCCCAGACAACAAGAGGAGTTTAGTTGGTCCCAAACAGATTGGTAAGATAACCACCACCCTGCATCGCCTCTCAAACAATTGATTATCATCCCTTTCAACGTTCGGATTTGAACAGATCAAATCCAGAAAGCTTTTGTTACGTACACGTACGTCCCATAGTTTAATGGCAGTGAGCAAGAATTTCCCAGTTGTTAAAAGAAAGCACCTTTTTTTGTGTGTTATTTTCGTTTTTATATATACCTTTAGAACTGTTGTAAGTTGTGTTAAAGAATGCAATATTGCTGGGTCTGTACAATTGACTCTGGGACTTGCTGCAGTTGACGAGGCAATACAGGACAGTACTTATCGTATAGCACGCCCTGATAGTGGACCGACTTTCACACTTAACATATTAAAATGCTGCTGCTGATAAAAATTTGCGCATATTCATAAGAAATAACTGCATCGACACCTACACGTGGGACTTCATTGTGTCTATTATTACCGATAATGTTTGAGAGCTTCACTACAATTTTAAGTGGTTTTACATTCTTCCTTTTTTTTTCAAAATTAGTAATAATACACTTTTTAAGACAATTAATGATAATAAATATAAATTCTTAATTCCAGACTTTGAGGAAACTGTCCCAAGATCCAGTTGCTACAGCCATACCATCTTCAGTGACTCCAAGACAGCTAACACGATTATCATGACCTGCTAGCACTCCTGTGAATACAAAAATATCACATGTTAAAGAATTAACATTGTGAGTAATCAATAACCAGGAATCGCAATCATCAAATGGAAGTTAAAGAAAACAAACAAGTTAGTACAAACTAACAAAATCTTTTAGTAGTGAACAATGTGATCGTACACATCGGGTACACCAAAGAGTAATTCTAAAGATTCATAGTCACACAACACGTGTATCACATAAAACACATATCAAAAGTGCTGTGGAGAATGTGCCGATTTATCATTCAATTTCATACTATTCACAACACAAATTTCACAGGATTTTTGTTTATTTTGGGCGACCACAGAAAACCAGCAGGAAAGCTGGATGTTTCTTACCTGCACGCTCTCCTTTCAATGTGTCCCATACATTGCAATTAAAATCATCATAACCAGCCAATAACAGACGACCGCTCTTTGAAAAGGCAACTGAAGTGATACCACAAATGATATTATCATGAGAATACAGCATAAGTTCTTGGTCAGCACGAATATCAAAGAGTCTGCATGTTGCGTCGTCCGATCCAGTGGCAAATGCATGGCCATTAGGAAAGAACTACAAAATAAAAGAATTAAGAAGGTTAATGATTGAAGCAACATGATATCATATTTAAGTTGTGGCGAGATGGGGCTTTGCATGTTTCCTGCATAGTCACTGCTTCCATGGAATTAAGTTTGAATACACTTGATTTGACTGCACTTGTTTATTTACTCATTAATACCTTTCATCCAACATTTGTGCTTTTAAAATTTCTACATTTTTAACTATTTAGGCAATTTCATCGTTTAAATCATGTATTTTTAGTAAATCCTGCAAGTCAGCTGTACAATTAGTAGCTCCCAAACTTCCCTCAAACAAGCAAATTTTCCAAACTTCTCTTTCACAACTGTTCAGAAAACAGTTTTCTCGTAAAACATTGAAGCAACACACCCTTGGAATAAAAAAAAAAATATATACTTACTGTTACAGCATTTATATCTGATTCATGACCGGTGAACGTTTGTCGGCACATACCATCCCGTATGTCCCAAAGTTTTGCTGAAGCATCACATGCTCCAGAAACAAATGTCTTATTATCGGGTGAAACTGACAAGCTCATAACATCTCCAGTGTGTCCTGTGAACGATGTTGTCTGTTGGCCTGTTTCTATATCCCAGAGGGCACTGCAAGAGAAAAATCAATATTCACCTTGTAATGAAAGATGCACACCAAAATTAAATCTGAAGACTTGAAGGGTTGACTTGTTAACTCGGTAAAAACTGCTGTTTTAGACAAATCATTCATTTTTTTTTACAATGCAGAGCAGAACCAAAAGTCAGATGAAGATAAAGATTTTGTTGCATTAGCATGGGAAGAAAGCCAATAAATGTTAAATGGCTTCTTTCACATTAGCATAGGGAAGGGAAGCTTACTCTGAAAACGTATTGTTATAATTAGTGCCGGCAGCATTTAGCGGAACATACATTGTCTGTGTTTAGAGACGCCTACATCTGGGATAAATTGCACACTGCCTGTGAAAGCAGTTACAAATTGTTTATATACACCAAACTCCTGCACCTGGTAGGCAATTACTGAGTGACTTTGCAACATCCCCAGACACTTCAGTGG